CAATGGCCTCATTTTGCTCCTGCAGGCTCTTCCCAGGGACGGCGTAACGCGTCTCGATGATGTGACGAATCTCAGACAGGGTGAGTGTGCTCCCTTCAATGGCCACTGTGTGGTAGATGTGGTGGTAGTAGGTTTCCTCCATCACTCGGCGGAGTGCAGAGTTGCCTTTAGGAATGGACATAAGCCTGCGCACCTTACTGTCAATGATGCTAAAGTAACGCTGGTCAATCTCTTCCACCAATGGCAGAGTTCTGTCTCGGCTTACCAGAGCCCGCTCGTTACATGGCGAGATTGCCAAGGCCTTGGTGTAGAGGTGGTCTGCCTGGACGACATCCTTCTCCTCCTCCAGAATGGTCCCCAGCTCCGTCAGGGCCTCCACAAACTCTGGATTCATACTGAGTGCATGCATCAGCAGCTTGTGAGCTTTCTCCCTCTTCCCCAATTTCTTCATCTCTAGAGCCTGCTGCAGTGCCACTTTGGCCTCAAGCTTCATCTCTGCAAACCAAATGATAAACCATCAACTTCGAAAAAGGTGAGACAGTACAGAGGTAATAATACTTCGAAAAAGGTGAGACAGTACAGAGACAGTACAAATTGCTATTTTCAACATAGGGACTGTATTGAAATACAGGCAACACTATAAATATATCTCTGTGTGCTGTTTGAGTCATTGGTACATTTTTATCTATTCTGGACAAACTGCACTTCAAATTAATTTCAAAGAGGTCATCTGCCACATTTAATTACTGATATTCCAGTGTGTGTGAGTATACATAGAGTATATACATACACACACGTATATACACAATTAAAAAACAACCCCCTTTGGTTCGTATTTATGCTTTTTAAGAAATGTATCCAATCTTTCTTTTAAGATATGGTATGAAGTTGTGAATTTCTAATGAGTAGTTTTACATTTGTACCTTTGCTCGGCTTGGACCTCTGAGGCAGCAAATCAAGGGCAGTGAAGGGAACAGTGAGGCTGGTGGACTGCACAGCTGGAGGCTGCCGAGAGCTTCCCCACAGCAGGCAGCGGAGCTGAGCTATCCCCTTTAGGGCGGCGCAGCACTCGTCCTCCACCCCTACCAGGGGTATCAGGAGGGCCACCATAGAGCCGAGGAAGACACACAGCAGCGGGCCCCATCCTCCAAGGACACGGCCGCTGGTGTAACGCCACACCGGCATAGCAGCCATGATGAATCCGGGCTAAATACTCCATCTTCCGCTGATACGGTCCCCCATGTGTTTCCACCCCAGCTGGAAGACACGAAGGGCGACGGACAGGAGGGAAAACGATCAATGTGACAGCTGAGAGTCAACAATACCACCAAGGAAAGTCGGCTTAGTTACACAATTTGTACAGCTCGTTAAATAACGACTTGGGTCCACTGTACCCTCTTTATGTGGTTTTAAGCTAAAGCTCCGAAACAACGAGAACACAGAAAACGGCTGACTGCTATTCGGCGTCACTGCTATGCACAAATACACATCATCGACTTCCTCTATCGTAACGTGTGAACAACCTAGAATGTCAATGGTCAGAATTATATTGAAGAACGATGCTGATTGGCCGAAAATGCGGCAAAACAATAAATAGGTCGTAGCTGTCTCTGATTGGGCGATTTTCCAACAGTTTGCCCTAAGTTTAGCCTCTCAGGCAAGACTTACACCAACGCAGTGCATAACAGCAGCAGGTCAGAAGGAATGAACGATGTTTAGGCTTTATTTACCTGTTTATATATTTATTTGCATTTTACACTTTATCTGCTTTCTTCTATTTTATTAAAAATGCATTTTAGTTTTATGTATGCATTATGCACAGCGCTTGCCTTTGTGTATGAAAATGTGCTATACAAATTATCCTAACTTGCCTTGCTAGGAGCAAACTATCCCTATTTTTTCCTTCTAATTTTAAAAGCGTATTATTGTTAAATACACTTTTAAAACATATTTAATTAGTCAGTTTTATTACTCAGTTGTTATTCACTTGTTAAAACTGTTTGTGTAGCCTATATGTATTTATTCATTTTTTCTTTTCTATTCTCTACTCATAAAAAATATTATACTAACGCTGATGTTTTGTTGCATTTGTATTACTTTTTTTAAAACTTATTTTAAAAATGTTTTTGCATTGTGATTTCTTTCAGTAAAGAGAAAAAGAAACAATGAATAATTATGTTTAGGTCATGTTGAGGGTGATATTTACTTTCAACCCACTGTTTTGTAGGTTAACCAGTGGTTTTTCCATGAGTAAGACAGCTGGTAATAATAGGTGTGCACAAAACTATGTTTTCGTAAAATGCTGTATAAGTCAAATCATATCTAAAATATATAGTGTGTATTCTGTCTGTGAGAATATGCTTTAAAAAGTTACAAATGCAAGAAATTACAAATACGAAGTGAAAACTTAAGTTTGTCCTTTCCTCAATGTGAATACAAATTTACAACAG